CAAAAAAAAAAAAAAAAGAGAGTTATCAGGCTCGGTATGATAGCTCATGCCTGTAATCCCAGCATTTTGGGAGACTACGGCAAGAGGATTGCTTGAGACCAGCCTAGGCAACACAGCGAGACCTTGTCTCTACAAAAAACTAAAAAAAAAAAAACAATTGGCTGGGCATTGTGGCATACACCTGTAGTCCCGGCTACTCAGGAGATGGAAGGATCATCTAAGCCTAGGAGTTAGAGATTCCAGTGAGCCCTGATTGTGCCGTTGCACTCCAGCCTGGTGACAGACTGAGATTCCGACTCAAAAGGTGGTATCAGAAAATGTTTATTATATACCAAGTATTAGGTAATACTATGGAATTATTGTTTATTTTGTTGGACATGATGACATTGTGTCAGGTATAAGAAAAATGTCTTTTTTTTTCCGGAGGGTAGGGCCTAAGGCAATCCTTCCACCTCAGCCTTCCAAGTAGCTGGAACTACACATACAAGCCACCACCCCTGGCTAATTTTTTGATTTATTTAGAGATGAGGTCTCACCAAGTTGCACAGGCTGGTCTCGAACCTATGGGCTCAAGCAATTCTCTTACCTTAGCCTCCCAAAGTGCTGGGATTATAGGCGTGAACCACTGCGCCCAGCCAGAAAATGTCCTTTTTTAAGAATCCAAGCCGGGCTCAGTGGCTCAGCCTGTAATCCCGCACCTTTGGGAGGCTGAGGTGAGTGGATTGCCTGAGCCTGCGGGTCCGAGACCCGCCTGGGCAGGGGAGACCTCATCTCTACAATAAATCAAAAAAGTTAGCCGGGCATGGTGGCACACGCCTGTAGTTCCAGCTACTTGGAAAGCTGAGGCGGAAGGATCGCCGGAACCCAGCAGGTCGAGGCTGCAATGGCCGGGAGCAGCCACTGCACTCCAGTCTGGGCGACAGCGTGAGACTCCAACTCAAAAAAAATAAATGAATAAATAAAGAATCCATACTTCAGTGTATAAGGGTAAAATGAGTTAGCAAAGGAAAAAATAGGATTGATAAAGCAGATGTAGTAAAAACTTAATTATTGAATGTGGGTAATGGGTGACTCAGTGTACTAGTCTCTCTATTTTTAATATTTTGAAATGTTTTTTTCATAATAAACGCTTTTTAGAAGGGGAAAGAAAGCACTAGTTAGAAGATAGTTTCCATGAGGGCATGGACAGGGGCTTTGTCTTCTTGACCCTTCTGTCCCTAGAGGAGACAACACCTAGTACAGTGCCTGGCACATAGATTGAAGAAATGAGTGCAAGACTTGGTTTTTAGGTTCACTTACAACTAGACTAATTGCATACTACAGTGAGGCTATATCTGAACTACCTCAAGCATGCTGGCTTTGTGCAGCCTGTGAAGGTTATGGACAGTCTGCTTTGCTCTCCAGGCAGTGTTCTTTCTGCAGCTCTTACAGAGTTGTTTGATGATAAAGTCCTTCAGGTGAACTGACTGACTCCTGACCTTTCCCTTTGCTTGCTTTCTATAGCTGTGGGATGCTGGCAGTGGCTCATTGCTGCAGAAACTGCAGACCGATCAGCCTATCTTGGACATCTGCCCATTTGAGGTGAACCATAACAGCTACTTGGCTACCTTAACAGAGAAGATGGTGCATATCTATAGATGGGAGTGACCATGATCTTGAAACCTTTCAGGCATGCTGCTGGTTGACTTTAAGTGTTGTTTGCTAACATCTAGCAGTTCCGAACAAGATTCCTGCTTATTGACTGTAGCCTATACTTTTGGGATCATGGTTCATTTAGATTAGTATGATTCTAGGAATCCAGATCACTGAGACATTACAGATTGTGTATTTGCTATTCCATCAAAAGAGTAATTGATGCTCCATCTTCATTATCCATTTTTTGGGTTTAAAGCCTTCATAGGTCTTTGTTACGAATCTTTATTTTCTATGTGACTTTCTGCTGGACCTTAGGAGATGTCTTCTCAGCAATCATCTAGGATATGATGGGCACCAAGATATTCTGGGGGATATGTCACCCCACCTGAGTGTTCTTGTCACTTGGGCTGTTGGGAGTGCTACTTCCTTGAAGGGACTAAACCATCTTGCTGCTTTGATGCTGTGTGGATGCAGAAGAGTCTTTATTCAGTTGAACACAAGAGGGCACTATAGAACCTTGTGTAGTTGATCTCTTTCTGACCTTGAAGGCTAACAGCCGCTTAGTAATTTGGTCTCATCTCCACAGAAGTGTGTGACAGAGCACATCTGGTGTGCTTTGTGGAAACAACAGTTATTATGTTCCAGGCATGAAGTGCTGGAATGTTGGCAGGTCCAGTGATAGAGGCGGCTGATGAACTATAGACCCTTTGCTAATGCCAGGTGCATTAGGCTCATTCCTTTGTGAGAGCTGAGGAAAGAGACAAGTTGCTTGAGTGGTAGGGAAAACTCATATTTTTCTAGCCATCTTACAATCTCTGGATTAGCTGTATGCAAGCCAGTGCTTTAGAGAACACTTCTTTTACCTCTCACTAGGAAAGGATGAGAGATAGGTAGAAACTTTTACTTCAGCCTCCCCTAATATCAGAGATCAGGAGCAAGGACTAACTAAAGAGCTTACAAAAGAGAAGCTGCTCAGACTGCTGTAGAGAACAGGAGGAAGAACTTTTCTCTCCATTTTGAGAGAGTTCCTATCTGAATAAACCCAATCCCCCAGAGTGAGGGACTGTTTTCAAGTGTGTTTATAATTCCCACGTAAAGCCTTCCCCATGTGAAACTGTTATTTGATTTCAAGTTCCTGGTTTACCACCTCCCCAATCTTGTCTAAAAGTGTTGTTAGTAAAATGGCTATTCTCAGGAATAGTGGTTGGAGATCTATGAATGGCAGGGGAGTCCCCACGAGCTTTCGTTCCAATCCTGGCTTGTCCAACACTGGGAGCTGCACTTCTCTTCAATAGAGAGCTCAGTTTATATTTATTTGCTTTGCCTCAGGCCACTTTGCCAAACCACTATCCACAACAGGACATGCTTCATGGTATGGGCAGGTCAGTGCCCTGTTCCTAGGAGAGGATGACTAACAGTATGCTTTTCCTAAATAATTGTTAGAGAGATGTTACTATTTTTATTATAAAACACTTCTGACCTGGCAACTCCTGAGCTGTTTCCAGTATCTTTCTCTCCAGTGAGGAGTTGCAGAAGTAGACTTCCCCAGATCTCCAAGTTCTAATTGTGCCTTTTAGGACCCTTTTCTGTTTAAGGACATCTTTTTTATTTTTATTTATTTTTTATTTTTTTGAGTTGGAGTCTCACTCAGTCGCCCAGACTGGAGTGCAGTGGCTGCTCCCGGCCACCGCAGCCTCGACCTGCTGGGCTCCGGTGATCCTTCCGCCTCAGCCTTCCAAGTAGCCAGAATTACAGGCATGCACTACCACGCCTGGCTGATTTTTTGATTTATTGTAGAGATGAGGTCTGGCTGCCCAGGCGGGTCTCGAACCCGCGGGCTCAGGCAATCCACTCACCTCAGCCTCCCAAAGGCGCGGGATTACAGGCGGAGCCACCGAGCCCGGCTGGACATCTTTTTTTTTTTTTAAAGCCAGCTTCCAGGGCTTGGAAAAAGCCCTCTTTTCTCAGAATAAACACTCCTTTTGATGTGTTGATTAAATTAAAAAGCGAAACTCACCTGGCTTTAGCAGGTTGCCACAGAGAGGACACAGGTGGTCAGGCTGCCTTTGTCTTTAGGCCTGGGCAGGGTTAGGATTTAACCTGCTTTGAAGTACATTCAAGTGATGCTGATTGATTCCCCTAAGAGTAGGAAGCAAGGGATTTATTACCAGGGAATTTGGGTGAATCCCAAGTCTTGCAAATTCTTGCATTCTTACAGGAAATGAGGGTGTGACTGATTGTTCAAAGAAATAAAAACAAACTCGTCCCGGTGTCGTGTCCCCCCCCTTGCAGGAGATTCCACCTATAGCTCCAGGCTTTAGTCTCTTTGCCACTGGGCTTTCTGCTCCACCATGCTTCCTAACTGCTACTTCTGAGGTCCCTCCCCCCCATTTGAGGATTTGCAGTTCAAGTGAACTCGATGTTTTGTCATTGTATGTATGCTTATACCTGCTTTGAAAACAGAACAATGGGATCTCTATTCGTGTTCTGTGTTTTAATGTTTCTGTCTCATGTTTTAATGTTCATATGAAAATAAAGAATTTGCCGTCTGTAACAACTCTTGGTGTCTTGTCTCTTTGACTTCTAAAGGCAGGAACATGTCAACCTCTTGGGAGAGGGGTAAATACCAGGATGGTGGATTTCTCCATTTCAAACCAATGAAGTAGTTGAGGCATTAGCTAGCAATTGTTTTACTCTTGGTAGTGGGAAGTGTGTGTTTGCCCCTTAAGAACCTGCCTATTGTGGTTCCAAGGGTCTACATATCCCAGACTCCCTTGCCTGCTGGCTTACTGCTAGCTTCTTTGAATCCAGGAGACTGTAATGTGGAGGGAAGAGAGAGGAGGAGAGGACTTTTTTCTTTTTATTTCTTCTAGTTGTTGGCTGCACTTCTGACAGTGGCAGCAGTGGGCAAGTGTGGGCTTCTGGGTTCCTGCTCAGCACTGTTCTGGCCACTTGCCTCAGTTTCTTTGTTCTGTTTGAGTTCCGGAATCTCTATTGCTATAAATCATGGAGTTCTGGGATAAGGCTGAAAAGGCTGAAAATGTTTTCCTGCTGAACAACAAATAGAGTATACTGGATTCCAGGAGGGCTGAGTCCATAGGTATAAGCCTACTATTTTCTTATTCTTTTCTTTTTTTTTTGAGTTGGAGTCTCACTCGGTCGCCCAGACTGGAGTGCAGTGGCCGCTCCTGGCCAATGTGGCCTTGACCTGCTGGGCTCCGGGATCCTTCTGCCTCAGCCTTCCAAGTAGTCAGAATTACAGGCACGCGCTACCTCGCCTGGCTGATATTTTGATTTATTGTAGAGATAAGGTTTCGCCAGTTGCCCAGGCGGGTCTCAAACCCGCAGGCTCAGGGAATTCACTCACCTTGGCCTCCCAAGGCACGGGATTACAGGCTGAGCCACCGAGCCCAGCTAAGCCTACTATTTTCATGGAGCCTGGTGCTCCAAGGGCAAGGTCCTGAGGTGGAAGTGAACCCCAAATTACTAAGAAACTCAATATCATTGTTTTTCACAGTACTCTTCTTTTGTTTCCCATCTCAGTGATTGGGTGCAAATGAAATTCTGAAAATAGTATTTGTGTGTCCTTGTCCTTTAATCAGTTAACTTATTTTGGTAACAAGCTCTGCTGTGTATTTATCCTTGTATAGTTTACAAAGTCTCTTAATATATTAAATAAGTATTAAATAATGTTGTAGAATATATATTGTCATTATATTTTATAGGGGAAGAAACAGGTTTAAAATCCTAATAAAGGAAAATGACATTTAGGTGGTATTTAATAAATACCACATGTCTAGTCCTTTCAATTCTATATTTTTCATTACCAATAGCTAAGCAGGTGTTGGGGAACCTGGGTGAGAGCTCACTTTCTCTCTCTTTTTTTTTTTAGCCAGTGAGAGCATTGCTGAAAGAAAGTTCATTTTCACTCTTTTGATGTCTCTGTCTCCAGAACAACCTAGACTGATTCCCCACAAATTATTTCTCCTATATTTTAAAATTAAACTAAAGCAGACAGTGTCAAAATAAAATGTCATATACATCTTTGTGACACTTCACCCTCTTTGAAATACCCTCATTTGTCTTGGATTCCTAGTTGCTAAGACAGGGTACACCATTGTCCAGTGGAAGAAAAAATGGTTCATAGACAAGTCTATGACACATAGGCTATACTTGCCCACTTCATTGCTTATCAGAGAGCCAGCTGACAGGGGAAAAAGGTAGGGAGCTGCTCAGGCTTGCTTTAGGAAGCAGGGTGCAGGGCTGGCTGAATAAAGAACCTGCTGTTGAGATGTGATGTAAAGAGGAGTGCTACCAACCCTCACTTGCCCTTGAGAAATAACAACAGGTTTAACCAGTTACGGACACACCAAGCAGAAGGGCTTCCCTAGAAGCTGGACATGGGCCCCAACTTACAGTATCTGAATTTGGATAAAGGAAATATTGAACATTGAGGGGAAAACAGGAAGTTCAGGACATCACTTAACAGATGCTTGGGTAAAAATACCCTGGCACTTCGTTTACCTAAAGCTCAGCTCTGTGTGAGCTGCCAACAATCCGATGAGCTTCTGGTTAATGAAAGTTACAAGTGGGGGCTTGGCAGATAGCTTATTCCTGGAATAACGGAGAGGGTGTCTGCCCTGAATAAATGGTTATGCTATGCCTTCAAACTCTTTCCTTGTCCATAGATCTTACCTTTTTTTTTTTTTTTTGAGTTGAAG